CCGCCGTGCGTCAGCCAGGTGTTCCGGAGGTCGCCCTCCGAGCCTTGATGAAACACGATCTGGTCCCACGGCTTGACCCTCCCCTTTTCATCAGGCAAAGCCGTGAAGAGGACTGGATCACGCCCCTCTTTTCCCATCTTCACCTGGCCGACGACGTCTAGACGTGACCCTGGGCCCATAAGGAACACCACGCCCGGTTTCACAGTCAACGTGACTCCCGCAGGAATCTTCAAGCTCCCCTCGATGACCACGATGCCCCTAGACCAGGCAGAATCTTTGTCCAGGCCAAGAGAAGCTCCCGACACTTTTCTGACCGGAATGTCTGTGTGACGGAGGTCCACTGCCTCCACGGGAAACGTCTGAGAGCACGACTCCGTCTCGCTGTTCTCGGCCGAGTCCTGTGCGATGTACCTGTTCACTCTGGCCGACACTTCCCAGACTCCGGGCTCGGGGAAGGTCAGGACAGCAGAGCCGATGCCGTAATATAAGGTGAGTTCAGACCCGATGTCTTTTGCGCCTTTGCATCTTGCCACAACTGTTGCCTTCGCCCGGGGAGCATGGCGACTATGTATGCCGGTAACCTCTACTTTGATTGGAAGCGGAGCGTGAATGGGAATGATTGGGGAATACACAACGCTGTCCAGGCGGCACCCCACGGATGTCTTTTCCGACACAACCTTCATAGCCTGGCGCACCTTCTCGGGCAGGTTGTTGCCGGCACTTCTATAGACGACGGTGACGAGGACGAGTCCTATGGCGGCGAAGAGGACGTACCGCATCGCCCTCCGGGAAGGCAACGCTGCACAGACGAGACGGCAGAAATTATTCTCTCACTCGTTAAAGACGCTACACTTTGCCTAATCTGTTTGATTTGTAAATCTTGTAGCACGTACAGCATCATTATATGGGCTGAACAATACAGATACAAATCAAATCAAATAGCTAGGGTATCTTTAAAGTTCAAAATGGACACCTATTCCACCTAGTGCAATCAGTGCGACTGAATCCCAGCATACATAAAACAAATTAGTATTTTAAGACACAGGGCTACAGTGTATACTTCTTGATACATGTTACTCAATTGTTACTGTTAGTTTTACCACGTTAGTTTTGACTGACAGAGGAACAAAACACACATATACTGATTGCTATTAAATGTACTTACGCAAGGTTGTCGACTTAATCATTTTGTTCTCCACGGTACTGAGCAGAAAGCGGACCGGTGGTGGCACGTGGGGTTCTGTGTACCTGTAACAGGTCGGAATGAACACATAAAGGGTCACCAAGGTCGTAAAGTGAAGTAATTATAAATCACTGCCATTGTTCTCTACAGACGCAGTGATAAGGAGTGTTTGAAAAGTACTCTCCGCAGAGGTTTGGGTTTTGGCTTATGGTGTGATTTTAGGCTTTTTTATTGGGCTTTTTTTTGTACTGGTATCGTTGGCGTGAAAAAAATACAACTGTAAAACAAAAGAAAGCCCGATATAAAAGCCTAATAACACGCCAAAAAAAGTCAAAACCCAAACCTCTGCTTGGAGAGTATTTGTAATGGCATTCTGTGCTTGCAGAGGCAGGTTTCAATCGCCTTCCAAATGTACATGATAGATAGTATAGGAATCCTAATATGGGATGTGAATAGTCAAATGGACTAGATAATCTCTTATCACTTGTGGTTTTCTTTGCACTATACGTATTTTTTTGTGACGACAGGGTGTCTAAGCTTTGAAGTTGTACTTTCGACCTGTTGCCCTTGCCAGGATGTCTTTCCCATCTCCGACAATATCTAATCAGCTGCAGCTGGTCTCATCATGTACGAAAAAGGGTAATACAACGCATGTCAACATGCTTCATTGTTTTATGATTTAGAGTGACAAGAATTGTTCAAATGACTGAGAGGGCTATGTACGTGGCGAGCAGGGCATGTAAACTCATGCGCAGAAGGACCCTTGCACCATGATATTATTTCGTCACGCCCCTCGTTTGTTTTTCGCTGTTTGCTTCTGTAGCTATTACCTCAAATCTGTTGCTAAAACTTGATATTGCAAAAAAACTGTATCTGTATTACTATATATTGAGTGCAACGACTCACATACCGTTTTGTAGGAAAGCACACTAGAGTTTGTGGCACGTGGCCAGGCTAGCGAGATCGAGGGGTCACAGGTTCGAATCTTAGCATTTCTGGACAAGAGATGTGGCCGTGACAAAGGCACTTTACGTTACTTTCCTCCTCTCTTCACAGTAAAATGGGTACCTGACTTTGCGTGGGATGGTGGAAGGAGAGGAATGGGCTCCGCCTTCCAATACCGTGGCCTAAACACAGTGGATCAACAACCCCTGCCCCTACGGCTTCAAATAGGCTCACGCTATGTTATAGGACTTTTACCTTACCTCAACTCCCGAGAGTTAGCTCTTGACGCGCCGCTGAGTAGTGTTCGAAGAATGACCGCCGGTCGCCGTGATATGTGGTTGTGTGTTGTGTGTACATATGTTTTGTGGCCTTGTCGGGGATTATTGCGATTAACGACGCATTGCGCAGAATCAAATGTTAATCGCCAACACATCCGCAAAATGCGAACGTGCATTAACCTACAAGCTATAAACATGGATGGAAAGTTCACCAAGGACGCTATAGAAATAACAACTATATCAAACAAAACGGCCAGTTACCTGAAAGTTTTACCTGAAATTAACTTGATAAGAATTGAAATTCGGGTAACGTCACACCTCATAGTCCAACTGGCTCACAAGTTCAAAACATAGCAATGGGGTAGGGTTGGTTCCACTTACTTTGTAAAGAAATGACCAGAAAATTGACTTTTTGTATCCTTCTAATGCTGCATAATGAAGCTTCAACCACGGAATATGTGAAGTGAGGTCATGTGTTTGCCCTCCACACACACGCACCTCAACTTTGTTAGCCCGGGCTGATCATTAATCTTTTGATAACGCTGTCTCTCATTCCACAAAGATGGAAACGGCAGTACATGTATGAAGAACAGACTTGTGCAAGATGATTTCATCGATATTCAACATGTTCCAATCACATATCCCAGGTTACAAGAAGACCTTTTGGAAAAGCTCTATCTAAATCAAAACGTCCCATGTTCTTTTTAGGTAACACGCTATGGAGATATAACGTTACCATTTACAAAACGGAAAACCGTTAAGCTTACGTTGTTCACGTAATTAATAAGCTAAACGACGATTTACCGGATGGCACTGACCTTCGTAACGACGCTTTCTTTATAATGCGTCACAGTTATTTGAAGGATAAGATGTGGGTTGCTGGCCTCCGCGTTGTTGTGAACAATCACCTATCAGTCACATGATGATCTTGGGGATACACGGGGTCAAATGATGGACCATCTTTCTCGGGAGATGTTTAACCTGTACAAGCATCATAGGATCATGTGGCGTAACGGCAAAGCATTCGGCTCAGAACCAAGAGGTCCCGGGTTCGAATCTTGCCATGTCACCAATCTAGTGCCCTTGAGAAAGGAACTTTACACGACTTTCCTCACTTCGCTCAGGTGAAAATGAGTATGCCAGAATGATCATTAGCCAATACCTCTTGATGGGACCAGCTTGAAAGGCCATATTGAAGATTCCCGAATAAACAGTGCCAGAGGCTCAAACAAACAAACAAACAAACAGACAAGCCCTGACAACCGTCTTCTCTTTCTGGGACCGGCATCTGAAATCTAATTCGTGTTTTGATCAACAAATACTTGATCTTCAGAAAAGCGTGTGCATTTTACTTAGTGTGAGATACAGCCGAACCATGGAGGTATTCTTACTCCATGGTCAAACTAAACACTCGAGATGAATTGCCATCTAACGTTATATTGTCTTATTGATGTTTCATTGGCTTCGTGACCGCATACTAGGGACACCGTCAACGTTGATTATGAAGTTTGGCCGTCCGCCACATTGTGTTGTACATATCGCTAGATCAGTCTAGACCACAAAGTCAACCCGTGTTTATAACTGACTTAGGGCAAAGTTCGTGTGTGTTCTGTCCTCACGTACGCAACTCTAACAGGTGTCCAACTTTTCCCGCCAAAATGCTGCTGGGAGATCTCGCGAGACCAGGTAACCTTTGACCTGGACGCTGCAGGAGTCCACCTGCAAAGAAATGGCGGATTTCTACGATTTAAAAAGTTGCAGCTCTTTCACTCTGTTTTCAAAGACGTTTTGCTCGACTGACCCACAATGACGTTATCGGAGAAAGTAAGGCACATAATGTACCAGGAGAAATGAGTGTCGAGACACAAGAGACTTCTGAGGATGGGAAGGAAGCAGCGGAAAATGAAGACCAGACTTCGGCGCCCAGATCGGCGGAGGAAGGCGCGAGTGACTCCGAAGGTGGGTTCACGGAGTCGCCGAGAAATCCAGCCGGTCTCTCGCGAACCCCGACCTTCAGCGAGACAATGTCGGGCACAGAGAGCTCTGCACCCTCCCCTACCGTACTGCTGCGCGTGAAGAAGCGAGTGTCAAAGCGTTCTCGCCCGTCGTTTAGGTCCGTTGGTAAGCTTGTGCAGAAGATGGTTCGACATATGTCACTGTTCTCACAACTACAAAGCAAGGAAACTTCGACGGTGGGAAGCTCAAGTCCGCGCGAATCGGTCGTGTCCACGGAGGACTCGGGCACCCAGAGGAACTCTGTCATCTTCTCGGGAGGCAAGCTGCCCGTCCCCGGCTTGTCCGGGCTTCGAAACCACGGCAACACGTGTTTTATGAACGCTATCCTACAGTGTCTCAGTAACACCGACATGCTAGCCGAGTATTTTGTCTTGAACCAGTATAAGTCGGACCTGAGCAGGATCCGCCGGTGGAGGGACAGTACCAGGTTGAAACCTGTCACCCGCGGGGAGGTCACAGAAGACTTTGCCAAGATCCTCAAGGCACTGTGGTCCTGTCAGTACACCCCGAAGCTCACCAGTGACTTCAAAAACACCGTGGCCAAGTACGCCTCTCAGTACAGCGGCTACAACCAGCACGACGCCTTCGAGTTCCTACTTTGGCTGCTGGACAAAGTTCACGAGGACCTCAACTGTGCATCGAAGAGAGGGTACAAGAAAGCCAAGGTCTGGGATCATCTGCTTTTCTATACACATGAAGATTATATATTTCAATTTTTTAAGGTTTTACAATGATACGTTTCTGGTAAAGCAGTTAAGTTTTGTGGAGCCCTGTAACCTTTGAAGTGTTGAACTTGATACCTGTGTCACTTAAATGTGGGTCGTTCTTAAGACATGGAAGCCGTCCATAAAACAGCAGTAAGAGTTTTAGAAATATGTTCATGTATTTCTTTTTTGGAGTGCAGAACATTTGTGTTTCCTACATTTGTGGAAACTTTATATTCTCTTACTGAATTTCAGCTATTCTCCTAGCCAAGGTCCTTGTTCTCACCTATGAGTCATTGTTTTGGGAATTTTTGACTTGCATTCCAGAGTTAAATCTCAAACACAAAGGGTGACCTTCTGTTGACGGGACTGCTGGAGACATGTTGTTTCCATCTGTAGAATGTTTGAGGTCGCCAGATGAATTTCAGGTCAATGCTGTTCAAAGTGAAACATGTGGTTTTGGCTTCAGTGTGCGTACTTCACAAACATGTGGCATCGCAGGTGATATTAGTTTGACCTTAAGTACACCAAGTCCTGTATCTTTCATTCTGGTTGTCTTTTCACATGTTTTATTCACATGGCATAACATGTTTCCTGCTTTTAAATACATGTACAGATGTCCTCTCCATCTTAAAGAGGAAAGAGTCTTTCAGTCAAATTTTACATCAGGCCTTGTTCTGCCCAGTTTGCTGTGTGCAAATATCAAACAGCCATCAGCAAACACTTGCACAGTTGAACTGGTTACTCTGGCAGTCTGCAGCTTGAGTTCTATCTCTGCAGTTTCTCCCAGTCATATACGTTCACTACAGCTATCAATCTCTCCAGCCCATGATTCACTTAGCATGAATGGGTCCCCAGGAGTGCTACGGAGATTTAACAACCATTCCCCTTTCCACTGATGTCACTTAAGGACCCTGATGGCTATATTGATTTGTTGTAAGACCTGGAAAGCGTGCCAGCTACAGGGCCCCAGAGGCATTATAAACTTGAACTTTCTATCAATCTCGTCATTGTCACTTAGCAACAGCCCCGGGAGGCACGGCAACTGCGGTGAAGTTAATGATAAAAGGTTAGCGTTGGGTTTGTGTAGATTTAGAGGTGGAATCTAAGTATGAATGGCGTCGTGATGACATGTTTATTTTACAGCACGGCTCCCAGTTCAATCTAGACGTCATTGACACATGTTAGAATAAAGTCTGAATATTATCTCTAATATATTTTGTACTCTCTATTACACGTATTACCTTTTCAATGGAACTTAGAAAGCCATTGTGTGTTCGACATGACAGATCTAAATAGGCCCCTCTTCTGTGCCATTTTTAGACTAAATTAGAGTATCTGTGCTGACGTGGCCAGTGCTTTTGTGTTTCCTAATGTATCCTACAGGTATTGACAATCAAGCATTGTTCTACATCAGGGTTAGATACCACAGTCACAAACCTAGTGCCCCAATTTTCACAGCCTAATCCTGGTGTTTTGATCTCTCTCCATTTGAAGATAAGATCTCATCATGAATCATCATGTTTAGTACCTTACCATATTGATTACAGACATCAATAATTTATAGGGTGGCAGGGTTTGTTTGTAGTGCCTATTGTGTCCCATTCCAACCCTGATCCATTCATTAGATGATGACTCAGTCAAGTCTGGGTGCAGGATAGGCTGCCTGTTTGAACTGAGTGGGTGTAAACAGAGATGAGGTCATGGCGTCAGTTTTATTTTTAACCTTTGATTGTTATTAGTCAACAATGACTTGGTATGGACTGAATTCTGCCAAATACCAACTTCATGATATGAATAATGGATAAGAGGGCTCCAACTCTAAGACATGTAGTTAACATCTTTTTGTCTTCAACTGAATATTGATGCATATAAATTATGCACATTTATAAATGTATGTATTTTTATCCTTTCTCTAACATTTCTGGAAATTTAGGTCTACACATGCTATATTACATAGATAGATAGTATAATATATAATATTACTTATTACAAGGTCAGCAGGTTACAACAGAAGAAACATAAATTCTTCACACTCCTACATGAATAATTTACTGATCATTATGAATCTTATCTATATCCAGACATGAAATGCAAACTGAAATGCTGCTCTGAATTTTTATTTTCTGTGAGGATGGCTGGGTATGGACCTCAGGTCCCAGGGGATGTATCAGTTTGGTGATAGACAGGAGACTAGTGGTCTATCTTCTCTAACTAAAGAAGTCATTCCATACTTCATTAGGCTTACTGAAAGGGACAACCTACATTGTAAGTCAACTAGCTTCAATCGTTGGTAGTGGCTTCAGGCTAGAGGCTGGGCAAAAGTTGTTTCTTTTACATTGAACCTGTAGATCCTAGTAACCGCTACCAACCTGCAGGGTGGCGGACAGGGAGTAGCGCCCCTGCCCATTGAGGAGCTGGTTTCCCCGTCCTCTTACTCACGCCATACAAACTTAACAAGAAAGCGACCACCCCTCGCTCACCCCCCCCCCAATGTCACGAGTCTTCAACTTAATGAAGTTTTGACATGTACTTGAAGAAGAAGAAGACCTATCAATGTATAAGGCAGATTCTTTATCAGATTTTTATTGCACAGGCCTGCAGAACTGTACATGTACTTCACATTCTTTTAAAGAGATTCATGTAACATCTTGGAAAAACATTTGGGGTGAATGCCCTTTGGAGTGCTTGTTTTTCTTTTGTATCATGACAATGTACATAATTTATGCGCTTACTGTAGTAGATAAGCATACTTTTATATGAAAAGGTAAAGATATTTCAGTGCATGGATGTGAAACTAGGATAGGGAAAGTTCCTGAAGTTTTCTGAACAAGATACAAATTGTCGCAAATCTACATTTAGTCACAAAATTCGTAATCATTCACGATATACGAAGATTATTTAGAACTGGCTGGAATGATTTTATTGGTGTAGACTGTAATTATTTACTAACGTCAGTTGTAATTTGAATTCAGTTTGTAAAGTTTGTAGAACTGACCCTTTTTCTTACTCCCTTTTCTCTCTCTACAGCTTGGGCACAAGAAGTCATCAGACGAGCACCTGGCGGCAGAAGCGCAGGCCAACCACCAGAGGTGTAACAGCAGCTTCATGTACGACCTGTTCCAGGCGCAGTACCGTTCCTCCCTCACCTGCCCCTCCTGTCATCGCCAGAGTAACACCTTCGACCCTTACATCTGTATCTCCCTCCCCCTGCCCCAGCGACAGACCAGGGCTATCTACCCTGCTGTGGTTTACCACAGGAGAAAACCCAGGAACACCAGAATAGGTTTGTTTCCTCAGCTTTGCACTGTTTCCTGTTGGTCCTGTCCAAACTATTTGGTCAGGGACAGATACGGCATGTTTTGTACACAAATTACCCAACAGAGGATATGTAAAGGGAAGTGGAGTAAATCTGATATGTACTCTTTAGTCCTGTTTGTCAAAAGGGTTGTGTGTGTGCCTGGATCATTTAGGAACGTGTCTTATTTCAGTTTCACTTTTTACGAGGTATTGTGTGCCTCTCTGTGAATAACGCAGAGCCTTTTTTATTGTGCAGTACCATACAAATCATAAGTCATAAAGGTAAAGCAGTCAGTCCTTGACAGAGGTGAACATGATGCTTTTACAAAAATAGAAGCCTTTCTATGACTATGATATTGTATTTCTTGGCCTTTACTGTAAACTTTTGCAGGGACTTTACTTCGCAGTAGGAGGGAAAATGAAGCATTGCAGTGTTTTAAATTCACGGTTAAAGGAATAGTGAAATACTAGTACTAGTAATACAATGCAAAGTCATGGTGTCATGATTTTGCAGCGTAGAGGTCACAGCAAAAATAAAAGAACTGCAAACATTTCAAAATTTCCAGTACATAACAACATTGTAACAAAATTAAAATATACCATCAGTATATCAAAATACACTCACCTGTCCTATACTACGTTGTTGCATTCAATATAACCACGTCTTGTGCACACTTCGGTCTCATCATCAAGTGCAGTAACTGTAGACAGTAGTTCACATGATGTGAAGATCAAGGTCTCTCTGACACCTAATATGTATAGCTATAACATGTATACTCATCCTTGAGTTATTATGGGGAATTCTCACAGTGCATTCACACAAATATCTTATACTGTCATTGTTGATGTTTGCTATTTCTGAGACCTCTTGATGTCAAGTAAACATTATCTGATATGCCCAGACGGTGCCTACTGAATAACAGTTTGTTGGCACATGCTCCGTTGAGACTATATTGAGCCAACAGTCCTTGTGAACAAGCTGGATATCAGTTGTCTGTGGCACAAATGTGTGGACACTTGTTTGTGTAACTTTTGTGGTTGTTGCTGTACAGGAGTCAGCCTTCATCAGGACAGCTCTGTGGGTGACTTGAGAAAACTCATCGCAGACAAGGCCGACATTCCCTTAAACCAGGTATAACCAGCATATACTTGTTTACAATCACATATTTACTACCCGGTATGCCAGTAGGTTGTCAACCGTCTATGCAATCTTATCTCACAATCTGCAAAGTAAATTAACAAGAGTCTATAGGTTCTGTACCATAGCTTGTTTAGCTTGGTCATCATAAATAAATGTTTGGAACTGACAGCAGTCCTTTGTGCTGTATTTACTGACAGGAGTCATAAACAAGGGTTGACTATTTCAATCCCCAGTTTAATCAGACCTACAGGAACACTTGTTGTCTTTAACATTTGCATACAATACTGCCAGAGCCAACTACATAGCATACATGTACAATGTCTGTTAGAATGCCACATTGTGCAAATGATTTGAACTTCTGCCAGATGGGCATATTGGTACATGTATCTTGATATCCTTTTTTGTAATGTACACTTTCAAGGCTTCAACTTTGTGTAGGGGAATCTAATATTTCATTTGTGATGTCACACTAACCATCCCTCAAAACCCTCTGAGAACGTATCTGTATCAATGGCCAATACACATCAGCCACATAGTGCCCAGCAACATTAGGGAGCGGGCGGAAACTACAAGGGGATGGCACCCGGTACCCAGGCTAACCCAGGCTAGATACACATGATAGATAGTACTAGATACTATATGCTATGTGATCAACAGAAACATGCACTGGCAGAGACCTAAGCTTCACATGACTTCCCTGTTTAGTTTGCATATCAGTCAACATTTCTATATGAAAGAAAGATTTACGTACCACAGAAAAGGAAATCTCCAGGCCTGACTGAGCGCACCACTGTAAATACTTGTTGTGTAATGTAGAACATGTGGAAGACATATGCGTCCGTGACCTTCTTCCCTCTGGGGCCAGAAAGGTGTACAGTTGTGGAGATAGTCCAGGTATTATTCAGCCAGAGATAATCTGATATATGACCGGTTTCAACTTTTTCATGTCTTTTAGAGAATGAGTGGTATCATCTCTCTAGTTTTAATACTACATGTATCATATCTTTGCCTCCTATTGCAATTGGTTGTTTGTGTCGTAGCAGGGCAGGGCATTTTGCAGAGTTAAGCCAGTCAGCATTTAGGGTTTCAGTTTGCACTGACTAGCTGGTCACTGGAAATCTCAGGTTTCTGCGCTTTTAATGTTTAGTCAGCAAAACTGCTGTTTTGTACAGGCTTGAGTGCACTGTACAGAGTGTTGAAATGACTCATTTATAGTTTTATATAATTCTCTTTTAGCACCCTTTGATAGGAAAGGCTCTTGTGCGTTGCCATTATTTTCAAATTAGTCCAAATTTACAAATTCTGTCAGAGGGATGGGAAAACTTGTTTTTCTTGTTCATTGAACTTTTCATAATCATTTATGTGCTTTCTGAGTTCTAGCAAACTAAGCAAACTTTGTTGCTATTTGGCTGTGACTCAAAATAGGAATAGAGCCAGGGGTTGACATTTAAAATGTTTGGCATGGAAGGAGCAGTTAATGAAGTGCTGCCTATCTGTGTCTGACAGTTGGTAGAGGGTAGATTGTGCTGATTCGGCCATTCAAGCCATGCTGGTCCTTGAGATAAAAAGGTCTATTTGCATAAAACTATTTGTACTTAGCTAGATATGGTAACTTATTACTTCCGGGTTCAGAAGTACAGAAGTTGAGTGTGGCTGAGCTGTGGGTTTGGGTGTCCAGTGACGGGCAGCCTGACTGGATTCTCTCTGGAGGTCAAAAAGTCAGACACTGGAAATGGGGTGGTAGATTTTGCTGATTTAGAAATTTGTGAATGCTTAGCTAGATACAGTTTTTAAGTTTATTACTTCCAGGTACAGAATTAGTTTGTGTGACGGAGCTGTGGGTTTGTTTGTGTGTCTGCTGACTGGCAGCATGACTCAAGGTTAAAAGCTCAGACACAAGTAATTGGATAAACTTGAAGGTCACAAAAACCCAAAGTAATTCCCGGAAGTGTGAAAGCTATGATTTCTTATTTTTATCATGTGTTTTCCTTACTTGACTCTTGTTATTGAATCCACAGCTTGTGCTGACAGAGATCTACTTTGATGGTTTCCAACGCTCCTTCTCTGACGACCAGCCGCTGAGCGTGGTGCATGATGGGGACTGCATCTACGCCTTCGAGGCGCCGCTGGAGGTCACTGACCTCTCCTGCACCAATGGTAGGGAAAGGTTGACTTTTGCTTGTAACCTCCATTAATATTTATCTAGAAGGTTACAACTCTTACTGTGTACAAATAGGCAAATATATCAAAGAATGTTAAGACCTTAGAACAAGTAGTATAAGTTGATTCATCTATAGTCGTGTACTTAGGTTAATTCTGTTGTACCCACGTATGTCTAGTTATACCTATAGACCTTATAGCGAAAGTCGCTGTACTTTTGTTGTGTCAATATTATTCTTTATCCACCAGGTTACATATACATATATCTGCCACATTGAAAAAAAAAAGTGTGTTTGAGACATCTCTCATCAACCCAGTCATCAATTGTTTAATTTTTTTGTTTATCTGGTGATTGGAAGGCTTCTTTTTTTACTGCTTTTGTAGTTAAAATGGATTCTCTGCGGTTTCAGACGACACCCCAGTCCCAGCTACGTCTAACTCCCAGGATCCCGAGCAGGAGAAATTATTACTGCTTGTTGTCAACAAGACTGGTGCTGGCAAGCAAGGGAAGAGGTAACAATAATGTGTTTGATTTTTTACTATAAATTGGAGATGAATCTATATTATCTATGTACAATGAATTGTTGAGGAACATGGAATGTTTTTCAGCACATACTATAGTGGAGTGCCTGTATGTGAACAACAATTTTGAAGTGGAGCATATAGAATACAAAACTAAGACTCACATGTAAGAGGAAAGTTGTCCTACTGGGATGTTTTTGCTAGTCAAAATATAAGTGTGCTGATGTTATCTCTGTTGACCAGGTTTGGCCCGCCCTTTGCCCTTCACGTCCCACGGAACCTGACCTTCAGCGACCTTCAGAAGGTGTTGTTACACAGCATGGCAGACATGACGAGGGAGGGCATCAGGCCACAGGTAATTACAACTCACAACTGGACCAAACGTTCGATACATCAATATGCACTATAACTATAACTAGACAGCTTCAACCTTCCAAATGGGGAAGTGCACTTCTGTTACTGGTTACTGTACATGCAATGATTCTATTCATTAGAATGCTCTGCAACCAACTCAAAATCATGTGGAAATTGTTTCTTAGCACTTTTTAGTATGATCCATACTTCCACAATATTCTGAGAGGTGCAGGTAAAACTTGTCAAGTGCAGGTAATTTTCAATGTAACCTGCACCAGTGAAAGTATGCAGAAAAAGTATGTTAAGCCCTGCTAGTGCATCCCCAGGTATAGTGTTATTTATATGTTAGCTATATGTTATATGTTAGTACTCTATTTCAGTCATCTTAAAACAAAATTTTGTCCACCCTTCTGTTTGACAGGGCAGCGTGCGATTCCAGATGCGGGTGGTAGGTGGCCTTGCTGGCAAGTGCTACCTGACAGAGGACGACAACATGTGTCTCTACATGCCGACTGTGGACAAGTGAGTGGACACAATGTATTGTTCATGTATCTGGCATATCATCCTGTATGCTGTGCAATAGAATAAGCATGGAGTATGTTGTCAAATACATTGACATGAGTATAGTAGTTTTTTATTAGTTAAGTAGTAGTGGGAAAGGCCCTTGAATCTTCGTCAGTGAAGTCAAGCCAAGAGTAGTTTTATGCTAGCTTGACAGCTGCATGTATGTACTACATGACAAGTTAAAAATACCAGTAGGGCAAAAGATCTGGAACATGTACAACAAAACGAGAAGTCCATTTTCTCAGTGCTGACAATGTTGCAGACTGGATAAAGCAATTTCTGTCCTTATATTTCAGGGCCCTGTCTGGCTGTGGTTCTGGGGGAATGGAACATGTAAAGTTGGTGCTGGAGTGGGAACAGGAGACAAAGGCATGGTGAGTGTTCAGGGTGGTATGACCTGCCATTTTTACACACACTCTCCCTTAATATGTTTCGTCTAAGAATAAAGTTATCTATTACTGTGTTCAGTGAGGGCTGGAGGCCTAAGCATATGATTAGTTCTGCTGCAGTACTATAGAATGCTACTAGGGGGCCAATAGTTTAACTTGTCCACCCCATCCCCTTATAGAATAACATTGATAACTGCATGCTGTTGCCTCCCCAGCCTGTTTGGTAACACGTGTGAGGAGAAGGTAGAGGAGCTGGACAGTGTCAGGCAGCAGAGAACAATGCAGCAGCAACCTCTCAACGTTACCCTGTCTGACTGCTTCAGACTACACACCAAGGAGGAGAAGGTATGACTTAGATAAATAACATAACCTTGTAGAAGCACTGCCATTTGTTCCAATCCATGATCCTTAGACTCACACCTAGAGTCACATATCCAAGAAGTCATTTCTTAAAGTGATGGGAACAAATTAACCTTGGTTATTGCAGAAGACATTCTCAATACCGAAATAAACTTAGACTTTGAGAGAAACACGTGAGGTACTCAATGGGGGGATTTGTAATTTTCGACATTAACTAACTCTCTATTCCATTTACATGTCTACTTGTGTGACTATCTACTGAGTACACATCAGTCCCTTTCAGACAAATTATGATTTTCATGTAGCATTTTGTACTGACACACTGGCCTTGTGTCTGGGCTTGTCTGATTATCTAAGATGTTATTCCCTTTGAGATAACTTATGACCTTGCTGTCATTTTATTCTGACACAACCTGCCACACTTGTTCCTTTGTGATTTTGGGGTCTCCATCAGTGAAGTTACCTGTTTTCCTTCCCCTAGCTTGGCCCTGAGGACGGCTGGCACTGCCCCTTCTGTAAGAAGGTTCAACACGGCACCACCAAGAAACTCAGTCTGTGGTCCCTGCCAGACATCCTCATCATTCAGCTCAAGAGGTTCAAGCAGGTAAAGCAGGCCTCTACCTGATTAGATATCCTTTCAGTATCCTCAGTTCTTCATATTTTACCAGTCTTCCTACTTACCTGTCTCTTGCATGTGATGCATGTTATTTCAGATTTGTCAACTTTTACCAAGTACAGTTTGTGTAACAGAGTGAGAAGCATATACCTGTACAGATGTTGTATTGCCAAGACGATAACTTGTTTCTGCTTTCTTTTATTTTCTGTGTTCAATGCTTATGCTAGAGATATTGGAAATTCAATGCATATATCAAATCAGTTGATACAAAATTAACCTTCACCACATATGTGCACTTTTGGGCTGGTTAATTGATGCCTAAAAAAATAACATTATCCCATCCTCATGAACAGTTACTGTAACCTTCACCAACGTAGTTACTGTACTAGTACAGTGCCTGGCCAATTGGATACTCCCTTGTTGGTTGTGTACTGAAATTTCAGTTACCATTGCTGATTAAGTTTTTCTCGAAGGACCATGACGCAGCAGAGTGGTGTTCACATTCTGTCTTCATCTGTTCCTCCTATTCCCCTGCCTCCAGGTGGGGATGCGGAGAATGAAGCTGTACACGTCGGTAGACTTCCCCGTCTCCAACCTGGACATGAAGCCCCACGTGGCCCGCCGTAACCCCGGCAACAGTGGCGGGCTCGGCCTCTTAACCAGCTGGTCTCCATGGAGACGCCATCAGCACAGGACCGCGGCTCGCCACCCGGACTACTTCTACGACTTGTACGCCGTGTGCAATCACCATGGCAACATGACGGGCGGACATTACACAGGTCTGCTTACCATCTGTTGTTGTTATGTCTACCCGTTCCAAACAAATACGGTCAATGACCTGGACCAGACAATTGTCACCATAGTAACTGATGCTGTAGCAGACACCATGGGGTGTGGGCTAACATAGTCAACCAACTCTTTTGCAGCTTTTTCCAAGAACCCTGTGGACGGGCGCTGGTACAAGTTTGACGACACCAAAGTGTTGGGTGTGAGTGATGAGGACGTTCAGACGAGCGATGCGTACATCCTGTTCTACCAGAGCCGCAGCAGCCGCATGGGCTCGCTGTCCAGCACGTCCGGCAGCTCCACCTGCTCCTCGTTGTCCGACCACTGGGTCAACCGCATCCCCAACCTCCTGCCCAGGAGTGACGGCAGCTCGCACGATGATACAAGCGACACGGGTGAGTGTCTGCATTTGTATAGCTGGTCTAACTACCCTTCACTGTGTGACACATCACTGGCACTAGCTTCACAGGTGCACAGCATGGCAGCAGCTGGTTATATTACACTGAATGACCTTTGACACCTAACCTTTGCACATCTAACTGTAAGCGTTTCAAGATAGGATTCCCTAACTGTACTTTGTGACAAGGAGTACTAGGAAAAAAGTTGTTGTATAATGTTATGTTTGCTTGCATCCTGTAACAGAATCATATCATACAACTCTAGCTTCTCTGGGTTATGAAAGACTCAAGGCAAATATGCCTAACCCTTCCTTGTCATTTCTTCCTGTTCCCCCAGAGGACCACGGTGGGTTCAGTGGGGACAGCCGTCCGTTTGTGCGCAGTGTGCACGGCATGAGCGCGAGCGTCCGCTACCCGTCCAGCCGCAGCCAGGAGCTCCTGTCGGACGGGTGGGACAGCGGGAACTACAGCGACAGCGAGGCGGACAAGGCCAGCAACATGACCGAGTCCCGCGTCTGAACATGACTGACGACGGGGGAGATCAACAGTGGGGCTCCATAAACCCAGCCTGGAATCCATCCTGTTCTAGGTCCAGTTCACTCCAACGATCACTTCTGCATGGAATAGTGTTAGAATATGACAGAGAAGGGACATGTTTGTTCACTACCAATAACCTGGGCTCAACAGACATTATTAAAAAACTAGGACGGGATCAGCTGTTTCAAGAACAAATTGTTGGTCCCATCGGTTGAGTATGTTATTTCTACGTTGAACTTACGACCGTCTGTTACAACAGTCTTGGCATTTGGTTCTTACATCCTGCATCATTTTTGGAATCAAGTATTTCTCAAGAGCAGCGTAATGGGGGTGGAAATTTGAGTGTCTGTTCAAACCTTGTTACCATGCTTGTGTTTATCAGAAAGAATCAGAACTCTCACCCCAAATTGTAGGCAGATATTCAATAGCCAATCATTTCTCTGTTAACAGGTGGCATAGTATTTTCTGCAGGGATTTGATCAAAGGAGTGACCAGAGTTAGAATAGAGTGGATTTCAGACTACAATAAGCCCATTGTAGCCCTTACATTGTACTAGAATATTGTACTTACAAAGTCTGGTACCAAGATAGATTGAGAACATTTTTCCAAGATAGATGTCTACTATAGGGCCTGCTAATTTCAGGACTTTTTCCAAACTGTACCTCAAAATGAAACAGACAATGAAGGGACCAAAATATGTCACATATCTTCATTAACACTAGGAAAGCACAACACACTCATTACTATTTGCAGTGAATTTTGGGACCAGTTTTGATAGAAAAATCCTTTATCCAAGTACAGGGGCTTCACACTTTGCATGCATTGAAAGAACAGTTGTGTCAAACTTTTTATTATTTTAGGTTTCAAATTGAAAGTATGCACTGCCAAGGAAAATTTGATGTTGTCTTGTTTAAAACAGTTGTGGAAATTAACCTAAAAATTTGGTTGAATTTTTTTCATTTAGAATGTGACATTACTTGACAGGCAAACCCTCTTTAAAATTGTGGAGTTTGTTACTAAAGCTTATGGTTGAAGATATTGAAGGATCAGAAATGAGATTTTGTTCCTTAAATTTATGAATGACAAAGTCAACCTCAAAGCACATGAATGTGCTGAGGCGTTTGTTAATCTAAAGAAATCGTGCTGTGCACTTGAAGAAAAATTGTGCTGGGCACTTTTATTATAAATATAAGAGAATAATGGCATGAATGTTTTTGTTGTAAGTGAGGACATTGAAATTACATTTTTGATGTTAATGTGTGCTTCTAAGGTAGTTTGTATGTGGAAATTGGCAAATACAAATGTATGCTATCATGGCTTTAACCATCACCCGATCTAGTTGAATTTTTTTCGTCATGTGCTTTAATGTCACCAGTTTCAGTTTTACTTGTTTTACATTTTGCGCACTTGCTATTTTATTATGGGACGTTTGTCAAAGAAGTTGTATGTTACTGCATCTGACTTGGCTGTTACTTGAATAGGTTGATGCACACTGACTACTGTTGAATCCTGGATTGAGGTATGAGTACTTATATATGATATGAGAACTGGAAGAACGTAGGAAATGTTGCTAAGATGTGTATAGAACATTGCATATAAATTAAGCAGATGAGCTAATGTTGATTTGCTTTTTATCCAGCCTGTAAAATCAAGTGCCATTGTAATCAGATTCCAGTTTGCTTTGAGCTTACCCAATGATAATCAGTGTACCAGAGAGGTGGGAAAAGGAAATCTGATGGGATCTATCTACTAGATGTGCCAAAATGCAGTCAAACTGCGTTTTGTAACGTAAATGGAACCTTGGTATCTCTCTCTTTTTCTCTACATATCTTAAATTTATGGTGATGACAGAGTTCTTGATCTATTCTATTTTTCTATGCTATGCAGAGCAGAATGTTCTACTTAGCGACAACTTTTGTCCTTTAACTAAATGTGTAAGCAAGTGTTGACATATACATGTTTGCAGAAATGTCTTGTAATAGTGTATGATTTGATCCTAGGTTAACATGGAACTGACTTGAATGTGTGAAAGTCTGGACACTCCAGGATGAAATGCTTGTGGACTTTTGTCTCAAGAATGAATGTAAAGACATTCTTATAGTGGCAGCATGACAACTTCACACATGTTTGAGGTTCTTTAAAAGAACTTGAATTATTTTCAGAATTGTTTTAAAAGTAAGACATAACCACCATTCAAGGTAAATCCACATAGATGTGAAGATTGCTATGTTAAATGCATGATACGTGATATTGTGCTGTATTCATGAAATTTGTTGGTTTGCTTTTATCACAATCACCTACATATCATGAGCTTCAAGCAGCCTCCGTACAGCCATGCAGAAGCTGTATGTGCTGTCATTGCTTTTCATGCTTGACAATTGTATGCTGCATATTTTACTGACATTCTTTTCTGCACGGACTGTATCATTGTTATCGATTTTAGGATTTTGATTATGTATTTTACAGGAAAAAATGTTGGTCTCCTTTCACAGTTTAGATGTTGCTATTAACTTAGAGGACTGTTGGTCGAAAGTTGAGAAACTCTTGGTTTCTCAGATGACGAGTCACCGTCAGTTATCCCTGCGTTTTGTTGCAATAGGAATCGTGCAGCTGGTTTTGCAAAGTAAAAGCATTTTGATCTGTAACACGTGTTGCGTTGTGTTTATGTGTGAAATAACCTACGAGTTATGTATTCTGTGCGGGCGCCAGGATGCAATTGGACCAAGCATGATGTCAAAGTCACAGGGTGATCTTGTCCACACAAAAAAGAAACTTCATGAAAACTCATTGTGCTTTGGAGAGAGCTTGTCCAGTTACATCACTTACCGTAACTTATAATGTTAAACTCGGTAACGTTATGTTTCCCAACCACGATGATAAAGGCAATATTACGTCCCTGATTGGCGGGTAGCCCATATTTTCCCATGTTCGCAAATACATACTTGGTTTCTTGTCATAGTTACAATAGCATTGTGATGTCATGTGTCAAGTAAGAATGCCACTTTGTGCCGTGGCGTGTTTGTTAACCATTCCGAACTTGAGGCAAGTGAAATGCCGTTCTAGAACACATGCACAACAATTACAGAATACGTCATAGCAAACCGTTGCCATGTGGAATCCGGAACGCTTTTGAAACAACACAGCCCCGCGCAGGTTTCGAAAGCATCTCTTGTCTTGTCTACCCAAGCAAAAAAAAGCGGCATGGTGATCGACGGCGACAACGCTGTTGCCCTGCTGGACCGGGCGAGTCCCCTACCCGAGCGCCAGGTGCTGACTTACACGGACTTTGAGCGCCGCCAACCGCGGGAGGCTAGCCCGTCCTCCCCGCTACCGGGAGACGTGGTGTTGGTGGCCGAGAAGGAGAGTTTACCGGCCAGCAGATTTTCTCTCGGTCAGTGCAGGTGTGTAACATATGTACTACTAGTAAATATATAGACCATTCCCAATTATTCACACTTTATATGTACGCAATGAGATTGTATAATTCGTGTGTTTCTCCAGCGAGTACTTCCGTGATCACCAGTTCAGCACCATGGACAGCGGTGACTCCAGCTTCAGGCCCTGTTTCCGGCTGGATGGCGTCACGGCGGCAGCGGTTAGCGCGGTGGTTCACTTCTCCTACACCGGGCAGCTCAGCGTCGGCATGGACAACATCAGGGAACTGCTGCAAGCCAGTCGGAAACTCGGGGTGACCGGGATGGAATACCTGTGCTTACGGTTCCTGCGGCAACACCTTGATACCAACAGATGTGTGGAGGTGTTGAACATCGCCATCGAGTACAAGCTGAGAGCTCTGGAGGAAACGGCCCGAAATTACGTCATCGAAAACTTCAACGACGTGTCGGCTACTGATGGGTTTTTAAAGCTTAGCGTTAGACAGATATGTGCCGTTCTGGGGAGTGATAATCTGGACACTGACTCGGAAATTGAGATTTTCCGGTCCGCGAAGCGTTGGGTAGAGGCCGAGCCAGGCTCCCGCTTGAAGCATGTCGGGAAGGTGATGCGCAATGTGCGCTTCCCGCTCATGAACCGGTACCGACTGAAACACGAGGTTTCTAACGTGGACTTCATGAAGAAAGACCGCGACTGCGAAGCCATACTCCTCCACGCCATGGACTACCGGGCCGGCATCGACCATCACCGCGTGCACGACTACGAGAATGAGCGGACGCAGGTCTGTATCTGTATCGGTATGTATAGTCGGTTTAACCGCCGCCTTACGTTACGGAGTAACACACCAGCTTCGCAGGCGTGATGTGAATGCAGATGGTCATATTGCTTTGAATTTTGAACCTGTCCTGTCACACCTACATGTAACCTTTGCAAACTTAACTGCAAATGTGAGTGTTAGTCTTGCAGTGAGAACGCCCCTACTTTAATGAGAATAGTACCTTGTGGCAGCGAGTTGCACACTACGATCTAACTCAATCCGTGGTTGATAACTCTGCATGGCATGACTATATCATGTTTTTTTCTGAGCTGGTATTAGATACTTATCAGTTTGTACGTCTACCAGTTTATTGGACATTCCCTTTGCAGTTTGCATTTGTCTGTCTTTGTCTATGTCTCAGGTCCGGGGCGGTGCGGAGGTTGTGGTGGTAGCGGGCGGTGATTACGACGTTCCCGACCACGCTCAGTACAGCGACAACCTGCTGTACCTCCAGCCTGGACAGGACTCCCCCGGCCTGCTGGCCGACATGTCCGGGAACGTCACGGGCCACGCCGCCGCCGTCCTCGACAACTTCTTCTACGTGGCCGGCGGGTGTTTCGACGGCGGCCCGCCCAGCGCCGACTTTCACCGCTACGACCCGAGGTTTAACCGCTGGACTAGACTACCGTCCATGAAGCAGGGTCGGACGGGCTTCGTTCTCTTAACCCTAGACGGATGTATCTGGGCTATCGGCTCGGGTTACGAGATGCGCGGACGCATGTTTCCTATTGAAAGATACACTCCACACAAGGACAAGTGGGAACTGAAGTCCAGTATCGGCGCGCAGGTCCAGGCCGCGGGAGGAGCCGTCCTGAACGGTTACATCTACTTCACGGGAGGCATGGCGGGCTCGCACCGCGACCAGACCAGGAAAGACGTGCTGAAGTACTCCCCGGAGGGCGACTACTGGCAGGACGTGCAGAGCATGCGGAAGAAGCGGTGGGGGCACTCGTCGGTGGCGTGCTGCGGCAAGCTGTACTCCATCGGAGGCTGTAACGGAGCCCGGGAACTTCTGTCGTCGGAGTGCTACTCACCAGCCACCGACCAGTGGTCCGCCGTAGCCTGGATGAGGTAGAAAAGAAACTATCTGTTGGAATTGATGTGTAGTTGTTTTGAAATATGCCATGGTGAAGCAACGTTGGATTCTTTCATGGTGGTTTTCGACAGCTTTGTTACGCTTCATCGAGAGTAACGTTTACTCTCCGAGAAGAGTTTAGGCATGTTTTGGACTTTCCTTTTAGCTTTTTTAGGCGTTTTGTTACTCTTTCTATTTTGTCGGCTTTTGCGTTACCTCGAACCCAATTTCGTCGATAAGTGTTTGACCTTGTTGTACTTCCAATCAAGGACGTTAACCTTTTTGTTTTAATCTATCCCTCATGGCGTTGTGAAAACTAATGTTCTCCATCCACCAGGTTTCCGCGCCACCTGGCGGGTTGCACGGTCCTGCAGGACAGGATCTGGCTAGTTGGCGGGAAGAACCGTCGGAACGGCGCGCTGACGGACGTGTGGTGCCTGGACCCCCGCGCTAACAGGTGGTACCGCCAGGACACCGTGCTGACGGTGGGAGTAGCCGGCCCGGCCTGCGGCGTGCTGAAGATCCGCCCCAACAGGGAACCACTGGAGACGCTCGTGTGACATATACACGTCATGATACATTCCTGTATATACATTTTGAAGATGTTAATTTCCTTGGTGTTGCACACAATGGAAATAGAGTCGTGCAATGTCGATGGACTATTTTTATACGAATTGACTCCTGCTGTCACTGAAAGCTTATGGCTACAGACACGGGGTACCCAATATTAAACGACGATTAAGCGAAATAATGTTACATGGATATTGATGCATTCAAACATCAAGTTGATGAGCTACATTTGGTGTCGAGTTTTATTTATATGTTACTGCTTGCAAGCGACATGTCCTATACTCTGAGTTCATTTTCTGGCTTTCCACAATCCAAACGTCTGTGGTAAGGGTTCGACACTTCAAATATATGATAAGTTGTCAGGGTGAGGTTATAACTTTATATCACAAATAATGGAAAACATATACAGGTGATTGTAAAAACGGTGGAGACTGGAGACGTCACATATCGGCTCCCCACAGGCATAGGTTTCCAAGAGGGCCACCCAAATAAATACTGGTAAACTGTACACCGTAATATTTACCACTGATGGTTGGACTTTTGCTCAGTGAGGTTTACCTATACCTTTTTAGGTTACCAACCAATAAACCAACCAACCAACAAGCCAACCAATAAATGAATCAGCGCAGACATCCAATTGACTCTTTGGCATACGATAATCTGGGTATAAATATAAGTAACGTTAGATAAGGTAAAGCCCAAAGAGCATAGCTTTTGTTAATCTATTGCTTGCTCTCTCTCTAATCATAGGTGCGTGAGTGTCACTTATTATCATGAAGCCAGATGAAAAGTTCAATTTACTGGTCATCATTTATTCATATTCGCGGACTGGGTGGTTAAATGAACAATAGGAACTTATGACACCGTACGCTCGAGATCAAGGCGGATGTTATAGGCGTCTTCACATAAGGCGTCTGCACTGTTCGGCTAGCTCGCCTGGTCGGGGTTTAGACACGGGCACAGTCTTGTTCAAACACGCCCAGGTAACGTGACATACTGGTAATCTAGACATAGCTGTAGTTCCTGCGCATGTCGGTGATGTAATCGTTAATGCCCAAATTTGGTGCGAGACCAAATGATACAGGGAAATCCCCTGACTCATTACCTCCGGGGAAGGAGACATCCTTCCGCGAGGAGGTTTTACTATTGTTCGAAACATTTCTGTCAGCAGCTGTTTCTCGCGATCGGCTGGACGGATTGGTCTGTTGTTCGGTATACGTATTGCTGTTGGGCTGCAGATGATGCAGAACGTTTTTGTTTAATTGTATATGTGTTTATGGGCGTCGAAATAAAAGGTTTTTAAGTGCTCCGGACACCCCCGCCATGCTGAAAATGGAATTTACCATGTTGTTAAGGAATGGGGAGGTTTCAGTTTTGGGTCTTACCATTTAAAAGGGGTCAAACAGAGGGGTGTCTGCTTCCGATATGTATTTTGAAATATTATCGCAGTTGTATCTCGCGTTGGGGTAGACTGGACTCGGTGTATGTTCTTCTAATGGGCTGTAGATGGTGCAGGTTTTTTTGTTTTTATTGTATATGTGTTTTGGGGCGTAAAAATCTGAAAATGGTCGCGCGCGGCGCTGGGCTGGCTGCCAGCGCAACTTCCGGGTGGGCCAATGGGTCAGGGGTCAACGCCCTCTTGCGCAATCTTGGATGTTTTCGGCGTATAGTACGACTTCTTAACTTACAAATACCGTGGTATACTGTCTCAGACGTTCTCGACATGCATTTTTACCGTGGGTACATGGTATGGGCTGCAGATGAAAATGTTGACCAGTCCTGTATTAACACAACCAGGAACGCTAAATCTAACATAAAATTCAACACCATCAACTATACAGAACAAACAACATGGAAAAATATACAATAAAAAGCCCGGAGGTATAAAATCTCAGATTTTACTTGTTTAGTATATAAGCAGTCTGTTGCGCAGCTGAAAAACCATAACATGCGCCGTCTTCATGAGGAACGCAGGTAGGTCAGACCTGTTGGGTTTATACTTTTACCTTTACAAAAATAGGTGGGCTGCATGCACAAATCTAGAGATTTTTAGCTTCCTCGAAAATGTTTATCATGCCTTATCACGCTACAACTTCTAACCGTGTAATTTGGACTGTTTGAAAATGCTTTTGCCTACATGATTTGCACTCAGGTCATCTTTACGGGGCCTCCGAGTTTCGTCAGTTTTCACGCAATTCATCAATCCGCACTGAGACCTCAAATCAGCCTAAAATGAGGGAGTATCAGAGGGAAGGTGTGAGCTAGTGGGTCATCGGAGGCAGGCGAAAGTATGGACTCCGAGACAGCCAGGAAAAAGTGAGTCCACGCAGCAACACCTCTGTGTTTACATCACATGATGTCTGACTATATGTGTATAGTGTATACATACATCTAGAGAGAATGTAGTATTATGGTGAAGTCAAATGCATGAAGTGATTAAATTTATAGTACCACACTGCTGAAGTGTGCCACCCTATTGAGCTAAGAATTGGAACTGAAACAAGGGAATGGAGGGATGCATTTTACATAAACCATAACCATGAGGTGCGCTTTGGGGGCGTTTAAATCGAACTCAGTTAACAACGACACGTACTGTGATTTAACAATGCGAAGGGAGTAGTTTGCGACGAAGTCACGCGACGAAGTATAAATCGTGTGGCAATAACGAAATGTTTGGTGAGTGCCTGGTGCATTTGGTAGAAGTGCTGATAAAGTTAACCTCATTGTTTCTACGTACCAACAGAAAATTTAGTGTGTAATTCTTTGTTCCGCTTCGATTGCCATCAAAACATTGGCTGGCATTTAACTCTGGCAACCCGACAACAAAAACATCACGCAACAGGTCCAAAGTCCAAATGAGTGTAACAAGCTGTAACTTGTCAATTCTAAAGAGCTGCCTCATGACTTCATGACATATCATTGCTTTCTAACCATAACGAATCAATGTTGTGATTTTGCTCTCAGTCTGGTATACTATTCGATATTACAAACATATTAGGATGTGGTTGTTGTTGTTTAAGCGGTCCCATGATATATAATGTCAATATTATGAATCAGGCACAAAGGTTCGTGTTGAGCACAAAGTTCACTGTACAATCTCCGCCCAATAACAACTTTGTTCTGCTGTGTTTTTCAGTCAGGAGAGAGCAATCCATAATCCAGACAGTGCAAACTTTGACACTGCCTTGACTCCAAAGGCTTTGCAGGTAATAGTTAATCTATAATTTAGCTGTCACTAATCTGTAACAGTGCTAACTGACTACTCTCCAAGCAGAGGTTGGGTCGATTCCCGGTTGTGACCTGCTCGCCCCTTTCGGTTTTTACAAATCTACAGAAAACTGAAATTAGTAAATGATGAAGAGAAAAATGCATTATTTGTATCAGTATATAGACTGTATCAGTTTTGATGTTTTCCTTTGTTGCCACAGGTGACTCGCACAACAACTTTCCATATTCAAAATGCAGAGAAGGTGTACTGTCAAAGCGGTAGTGTAAACAACATGATGATGGAAAAGCAGGATGAAGAACGGCAGCCAGTTGACCAGGGTATGTTACATTTTGTGCTTTTCACTGATGTTGCAGTGATTTCAATCACACAGCACTGTCACCAATGTTAGAGTCAATGATTGGAAATAACCTTTTATTACAAGAGCTTAGAGTAACAGTCAGTTCATCCAGAAATTTTTCACAAAGTTTGCTCTTTTAAAGCTTAAGTACATGTATGATGAACTTAACTGACCGCACTCTAATGTATGTTACAGAAGGCTCCCAGGAACCATTGCAGGGACAGGGAGGCCCTCCTGTGAAGTTAACACAGGTCACACTGAGGATGCTGTCCATGCTTGCCCTCTGCAAGCCAGAAGTCCCACTCCCAGTCAGGGTCTTACTTCACATTGAAAAGTGTGCAGTCAATGGTGTAAGACACAGGGTAGTTAGTAAGGACATGCATCAAAGTGAGATAAAAGACATACTGAATCTTAGCTGTGACCCTTTTGATGACAGCAATAGCAATGAGATGTTCTGTATCTCACAGGGAAAATGTGATGAATATTCGTTGAGTTGTTCTCCTCAAGCCTATCATTATCCTGTCTCTGATATGGAAGAAGTCTTTAGGAACTGCTTCTGTGTGGAAGATGATAAAGACTGGGACTTGTTGAAGAAACTTTTGCCCCATCTTGATAATTGGTATTCTCATGCTGAAAAGTGTGGTGTGGAAAGGGAGTTGCCCATTGGCTTTCTGCGTGCTTGCTTGCATGCATTTGGAAAGTTCCGTTGTGATGGCTGGGGCAAAAGAGCCAAAATGCTGGCTGATAAATGCATCAGGTATTGTGAGAACAGCGGTTCAGATGAGGTAGATGAGAAGGAACGTACTCCGTGAAATTGGTGAGTACTACAGAAAGCTGGGGAAATACGAGCTGTCTGAAAAGCACCTTAATGCAGCCTTGGAAATAGGCAAAGCTAAGTCTGACCTAACTCTTCAGATTACAAGAATGTATCTAGCCAGATGCAAGGTGGACAAAGGGGAGTATCGTGAGGCTGAAAGTCTGATAGACGGCTGTCTATCATCCCCAGATGTTAAGTCTCTTGAGGAGAAGACTGAGCGCCCATACCTTAGAGGCAGAATGTATTTTGAGAAGGCTAGGTGTTCTAACAGGCTCCACAAGTACACTGAAGCCTATGACTTCTGCTCCAAGGCTGTTACGGTTTCAGGTTCTGACAGTTTTAGGTACCCACAGTATGCAATGTATTGTGCCTTCATCTTGGTCCAGAAAGAACTTAAAACAGACAACCCTAATGAAGCCGTGCTAAATGAAGCCCTGGGAAAGTGCGAAAGGGCAAAAACTATCATGAAGGACAGGCATGGGGATAACCACCACCAAATGGCTCAACTCCTCTGTATTGAAGTCAAAATTTGGCTGTCAAAGAAAGACCCTGAAATCGCCTTGCTGAAGGCTAAAGATGCACTAAGCATCACGAAACGAAAGTATGGACCAGACCATAACAACGTCGCTAAAGTCTATGATCTTTTGGGTGACATTCATTGCCAGAAAGGAAACATGCAAAAAGCTAACAAAGCTTACAAAATGGCAATATTCATTTATGGAGAAGAGCACTCTCATTCTGAGGACATCAAAGGCAAATGTGAGAAACTGAAGGAGAGTCAGGGCAATTCTTTTGACCCAAAAGAATGTGACAGGACAGAGCTTGACAAGGAGCTAGTGAAGTGAAGCCTTAACTTTTCCATTGGCTCTAAATCAACTTTGAAAGATGTTTTGGCTTTTTGGTTCACTGTAAATGGAGAAGTCCCATCCCTCATGTACAAAGTGTAGATTAATCAGCTTTGTAAATATCACAGAAAGACAAAGCCAGAGATACGTTCATGTACATAATCAAGATCAGCAAGTGTTGTGATCTCTTCCACGAGCCCATGTGGTGCATCATTCATATTGTATAGCCACTGTACAGCAGGAATGCCACATTGGCTGATGTCAATTAAACTTAGCTTTTTGTGGGAAAATTGGTATTGAAAAGCCCATACATGGTTTTACAATTGGCAGGTATAGGTTAATACATAATGATATAAGCATAGTTATCTGTTAAAGTCTAGGTGTTCTTAGTTCTTACACTTTTAGTTTGAAAACTGCCATGCATTGACATTGTACATAGCAGGTAGAGTAGAGGTTTGCATCCAAACTTTACACAGGCATGTTAATAATGTGGCCGGTTTCAGGATAATCTGTAACTCCTAAAGACTTTGTCCTTTTTATATGTATAGTGTACAGTGATATAGAAACATTGAGCCAAGTTCCATAAGAACAAAAGCTTCTACTGTGCCTTTATTTACAAATAATTCATGCCAAATTTGCTCTTCCAAATATTCACATATTCTAGGAATTGTTGGAGTTTAGATGGTCTATGCAACTTTGAAGGTTTTAATTTTTACACCCTATCTATACAGTGAATATGTAGAAGGCTGACTGAGTTCATTATATTCAATAACTCTGTACACACAAGCTAAGTCTAAAACATAACAAAAAAGTAAGGTATAGTTGCAGCTTTGAGGCATTTTTAACATCCATCTGTAAATCTACCGTAACATAAGTTGACCTTGAATGTTTATACATTTTTGTACATGACTTGTACATAATGTTTGGTGAAGTTGAATTTGTATTTCTGAAATAAACAATTTGTCTGAAGCACAGAAAAGGATGCTTGAATCAGCAGGGTGCACACAAAGACAACGATTAGTGTATAAAACAACATAGCCTCTATTTGTCATTTATAACAGATAACTTCAATGGTATGTGGGTCTTACTGAGACATCAGCATGACTTGGGGAATGGACAGGAAAGATAATAGTCCTATGAACAAGACTATAGTACATTAACAGGATTAGAAGTCATCGTCGCTGCCGTTCAGGTTGTTGCGATTTCGCCTGGGATTGGCTGAGATCTCTAACTCCTCGCTGTCTCCGCTCTGATCATCATCATCATCATCAACGTCGATCTCGCTGTCACCTGAGGACAGCGTCTCGCTGTCATCCTGGGGACAGCAAAATAACATGACAGTCAAATGTTGTCAATACTGTGGACAGTAATGCAATATTTAATGTCACAGTGAGCGTATGTTCAAATTATTATCTTAGTCTTAGAGCGTGGGTACTTGCAAAATATGTCTTTTATGCATTTTATAAAATGAACTTACATCATCACTGTCTGGTCCTGTCATGCTGCCAAACACTCGCTGCTGCTGTTGGAGTTGTTGTTGTGGATCTGCAAATAACAACATGGGCAACACACATTAGTCTCAGAACTTACAGGATGAAGCTTTTCTCAACTATATTAAGGTAGTACAAATCCTAATCCCAAAAGTCCTCAAATTGCATCCTTAAGGAATGCATGCCGAGCATTTCTGCATCTAAGAACATAGTCTTGGTTTGTGAAAATCATTATTGATGTGATGACATGTAGCATCAACAGCATACATGTACATGTACGTGAAGCAATAGCAAGGGACTTACTAGTAATGCACATTACACCTACAGATTATAGCAATGTCTACACTTCAAAACTCTCTAATGTAGACGGGTGACTTTAAAATAACTCTTCCACTTCGGGACCATTTATTTAGGATGATTGCACTTTGGCAAAACACAGAGGCAGCTCCTGGCTACATCAGCTTACCAGCCTTCTGTCCTCTCTTCATCTGCCCTGCTGTCATGATCTCATCATCCTCACTGTCATCCTCATCATCATCCTCCTCCTCATCCACCATCACATCCTCAAACTCATCATCGTTCAGGTTGATCTTGTCTGTCTCTGTCTTCAGCAGGGTCTGCATCCTCTTCAGGGAGTTTTCTGTCTCCTGTGGGGCAAACAGTAATATACTTTAATATGTGCTGTCTTGCATTCAGTACAGAGTGAAACTTTAGCCAGCGACATTACGAGCCAACATAAACTACAGTGCACTATAGTTTGAATATGACTTTTTGTGCTACACTATTGTTTTGACCTGGTAAAAACCTCCATTCCACTCCTACTGAAAAATTAAATCCCAGCAAAAATATGTGAATATACAGTACAGTGCGACCAACTGGTCTACCAGAATTACCATCTGGCATTAAACAGTTCCTACTAGTGTCAGTAGGGGGCACTATTCCATTGCTACTCGTGAGTACCACCTGGTCCCCACTGACCTTCAACTGGTCCTGCTCCCCTCCCCAGTTCAGCTTAGGAGTCACACAAGGGGTCAAGCATGTTAATAGCCACACACATCACACAGCAATGCAGAAGATGAGACAGCAATCATAGCATGACAGAGACAAGTAGCATAGGAAATACATATAGCAGGGTATCAGGCAAGATACAACACAGTCTTGACACTGCTATTAGGCAAGTTAAAAGTTAGAATTCAAGAAACAAGCTGGAATGAGACGTGACTTGTAGAATTTCCAAGAAGATGTAACAGAACTCAGTCGCCCCTCCCACCTCAAACTTGTCCTGCTCCGCACGGTTGTGTTCCTCCAGCTGCTGCTCCAGGTAACCAAGGTTACCGGAACTTCTGCAGGTACGACTGGAAACAGGTGACAACACATCAGTAACCAGCATTTGCTACAATGTACCTACAAGTTCTTCTCAAGTGATAGATGATTCTAACTTGATGGTGAATTTTCATGTTTAAACATTGCTATAATTGCCTTTGATTCCAGAGGACATGTATAAAAGTTTTTCCAGCAGTAGATAACTGTATATGATACATGTATCTAGTGTTAAGCTAAACCACCAAAAGTACATTTATCTATTGACAACAAAATATTGAGATGTGTATGGACTGTATAGCACCTACAAAGATCAGGCTACTACCATAGATACCTCATATTGTTTCTGTAAGTCTTCTTCCAGTCTTTCATACTCATCCATAAACGCTGGCCTGTAGGGAACAACAAAATAAACACTGAACACTTGCCTTGAGTGTTATCAGGCCAGTAAAGCAAATAAAGGACATTGTCATCAGGAAACATGATTGTTGTACTGCAGTGATACAAACTTCCTTCCAGCTGTAGAATCTGTTCTTTTTTTCATTGATGTGGACAAAGGCATGTGTCTAGCTGTATTCTACCGTTGCTTCCAACATAACAGTACTGAGTCTCTCTTTAAAGAGAGTGAAACAACAGATTTCAGACCTAACAATGAAATGATGATTCACCTGACAGACTGTAAGGTCTGTAGTCTTTTCCTGTTCCTCTCCAGTTCAAGTTTCTTCTTGGAGATCTTGGCGTCGAGGTTTGCCTCGTCTGACGCCACGTTGTTCAGCATGTGTTCCGTCTTCTTGATCTCCTGTTCCACGGCGCGGATGCTCACCTTCAGGTGCTTCTCAATCTCATTGATCTCCAGAGGTTTGTTGATGGCCACTGATCTTTGCTCCTGTGGGTCAACAGAAAATGCAGGACTTAACAATAGCAAATTATCCTGAATTTCCTGAACAACTTGACAGATACGCCCGTGTAGTTATAATTAAAGCACAAGGAATCAGGCCTTCTCTTCCTTATGGGGTATCAAGGCACAACAAGTGCATGCTAGCCATATTCAAGTTGGAGTTGGATTTTAACTGTATTGAACTGATGATGTACATTTGTAGTGTAGTACATGTACATTCTTGTAGTTATACATGTAATTGATAGGCAGGACAGAAAAGCTAAAATGCTAGACCAAAATGAAGAGAAAATTAAATTTTCTTACCCTGAGCTCCACTTCTCTCCCCAGGAGATCATACAGCGATGCTCCTTTTGTTGTGATTTCTGATGCCAGCTGTCGAGAGGCCTTCAGATCTGCTATCTGGGGTTTAAGTAAAGAAACAGGTTTATTGCATCCATATTTCCATGAAACAGTTATCTTGAAGTGTCAAGGAGGGCAACAAGAATAGCTGTCCAGTCATTATGTCTTGAAATAAGGAACACTCATGACTACATTTGCATGCTCACTCAGATCAATAACTTGACTGCACTGCTGAAGTTTACCACAAACCATATCCATAATTACTAATGGTTTCTGGAAATAATTTTGTATAAAAATGGAGAGACTGTGACTGTATATGGAAAGATGGCCGTACCCTTGAGCTGATGTCAAAGGACATTGCTGTAGTCTCCTCCTCCTGCTCCTCCTCCTGCTGTCCAGTGTTGGTCTTCATGGCATTGTACAGCATTGCGGTCACCTTCAGCAGTTCCTTCACAGCATAGCCGTCAGCCTGGTACAGCTTCTTAGTGTTCAGCTTAATGTGTGCCTTGGTAGCCTGCACGGGATGGGATCAGTGGCATGTAGTAGTTAGGACAAGTAGTGTAGTTTTTTAAAAAAACAACTCTTTCTGTGATAAAGTCATAGTATACAATTGCAGAGAGGAAAGATCTGCTACAAAGATTAACACACTTTTTCTTTTTCAACTGATTTCAAATGACGTGTGTGTAAAAAGTGAAGACAGTAACGACAAATGAATCAAAATTCCATGTTTATCAGTATCTTTAATAGGAGATATTAGCACTTTAGTATTAGTAAGTGAAAAACTTTCCTGTGTGAAGTACTTACCATAAACTGTGCAACAGACTTGATAAAGATGACTCTGTCCTGTTCTGTGTCCACATCCATGGGAAGGTCAGCATTGGGCTCATACCTGTGGTATCCAAAATGCATGTTATAAAGATGTATCTAGTATGTAATTGTTGCTATCATAGTTTCGTACTACAGGTCTTTACTGTGCATGATCCAATTCTGGTGCACAGTCCCATGCAAGGAGTCCATACCTTTGTTCCTTGTAATACTTATGCTTCATCTAATGATAAACTTTAAAATAGACATTTAATGGAAGTATCAACATCACAACAAAGCTTATACCATAATGTTGTTTATTTACATGTTATTATGATGACAAATCCTTCTTTACCTTTTGACAAGCCAAATCAACACCTCTGCCACCAGTGGAAAGTTGGGAGTGCGGAAGTTCTCCATAGAGATGAGCCTGGGGTACCCTAAGGCCCGCATCATCTCTGTAAAGTCTGGCCAGGAAAAGGGGGAAGATATGTAGAAAACTGAGCAACAAACCTCCTTTCCCTTCTAAATATTTTTCCTTACTGTGACACTGCTTATGATTGAAAAAACTTTGAGATGAGGTATTTTCGATGCTATCGAAACTGTCTCTTTGAGCAGACAGCTGTCTTCGATAGGTTGAGGGGCTGACCTGAGCTAGCTATGGATGAGGATGGGGAATTTTTACTATTTTTATAAAATCTACAGGGACATGTGTGTTCTGTAAAGTACATTAAACTTTCAAGATGTAATTTCTGAGGATGATCCTGGCTATACCGACCCTAAAACCTTCCTCGTAGCACATACAGTTGTATCATGGCAACGGTAAACGTTCTAGTAGCGACATGCCCCCCTCCCCACCTGAGAATCATTTTGGACAGCTTCAATCTACAGCGTTCTTGGCAACGTAGCTTACAAACAATTTGTGACAGAAGGAGGTATTCTCACTATTAGAATTAGTTTCGTAACTGTTAACACAAAATTTACGACGAAAGGCTTACTTCGAAGATCTCGGTACGACATCTTGAGGCCTTCTTCGCCGCCACTGCTTTTCTTGAGCCAGGAATTCTGCACATGCGCAGATGGCACTCGGGCTAGTAACTGCAGTTTTATTACTAGCCGCTAGGTAGGGTTACTGAGCAGTGGCATGAGAGCTGCACGTTTTTGGTTCATAACTGATATTATGATTGGAAAGCCCATATCAAGGATCAGCAAATATCAGAGACAAGAACAAGTTGCTTAGTATTGTCATAAAATGTCTTTTATTTTCAATTAAAACATACTCTATTACATGTACACATGTTTCTAAAATCTATCCAGTCGCTTGAGTACTAATCTCCATGCAATTTCCTTGTGTATCAGGTTCAACTCTACTTTTTCTCCTTTGTTCTCATCAAACCCTCTAATACTATTGTTGTCAAATGACACTACATTTGTATTGTTTTCTGACAAATAGGACATCTATGAATTCAATTATCAACGTTCTGGCAATAAAATTAACCTTCCTTTCTCAATTTGAGAAGGGGTAATATACATTAGTAAGTAGCTTCCATTAACTTGTCAAAGCTGACCTGACAAGTTATTGAGAATAAATAGATAAGCTTTACTATCAGGTGCTTTTCTATTCTTGTTTGAAACTTTTCTAGTTTGTAATATCTGTTTTGTGCTGTCACCACTGTCTTGAGATGGACAAGCGTTTGCCTCATACAAGGCCTTTATTTCTTCATTTCTTGAAGCATAGACTCTTGAGCCTTGAGTTCCTCCATCTTTAGCCCAATAGCCCTGATAACATCATTCCTCTGCTCCTCTGTCAACTGTTCCAGGAGTTGATTATATAATGCCAATGTCTCTTTGACTGCAGTCGTTGCATCTTCCAGATCCTCGTGGAAGTATATTGTCCCCTTAGCTGCAGTCTGTACAGGAGGAAAATGGGGAATGTCAATTAATTTGCTATAGGTCATACAATTCAAACATTTATTAACATATACTTTTTCATCCTCCTTATTTTACCAGTGGCTCAACCATGCAATGTACTAGTATCTACCCACTGATAAGACAGATTTTTTGTAAGGCTGATACTGAGTGATCGGGCTTGGGCTCATACTAGTCATAGGTGTGCACATCATTCATCAATATGGACATCATACTCTACTCTTCAATGAATACCAGCAAGCAGTGCCTCCTCCAATCCAAACCAACTTACAGCGTCTGACAAAAGCTCCCTAGCTTCCATAAATAAGTCAGTTATTTCGTCAATTTTCTTCTTGATTTCTTGTTGGCTGAGCCCTCTTCCAGCACTGGACAGCCACCTGAGTGTGGGAGTTGTGGGAAGGAGAAATCTAGCAGCAGCATGTCCACAGACGCTCTCCTTCTGTGTCCTGTCCATCTTGCGCGTCCAAACCCCAACTACCCCACAGCTAATCGCTCTAAAAGAGGGATATTTCAAACGGTGCGTTATACACCTCGAAGAAGCAAATTTCTGGAGCAGACCACATGACAACTTCACATTGACCGCCGCCATTTTTTTCGTAAAGTAAGGAGATTGTGTTATAGTAGCTCTGGTTGGTCTAAGTAAAATAGATCTGACCAATAGCAAGTCGTGTTCTATTTTACTATCTACATTACAAAGCATGACGGGAGCGTTCCTGGAACAAAGTGCCCGGATGTGCTATGGCAGCTGTCTGTTTTTTCGAATACTAGAATTTTGGACCTGCGAAGAGATTCTAATGGTAAGTTTTCTTCAGAATTTTCATTCATGCAGGTAATTTTCGCCAACTTTTGGCTCAGAATAGGGCCCCTATACCTTGTACAGTTTATATGTTAGAATAAATGTGTGCTACAACTCTGTTTATGTGCAAATTTTGAGATAATACGGGAGGTGGGTGGTTGCGTTTTGTGTTGCGACGTCCATGCTGTTGCCAAAAAATATGTCACAAAATTAGATTCCCGACTTTTCCTGCATTTTTTCGTCCTCGTCATTTCAATTAACTTTTCATGGACCGATGGTCGTGACAACTGTTAATGGTGGTACAGTACGCCAGGAGCTGCTATCTGCGTGCGGCTCTTTGCCAAAGTTTTTCGCTGAAATGCCACACCGCTTGGCTGTGTCAAGTCTCCGCCGGTTTAGGGTTTGCGCCCAAGCTTAGCACCACGTGGTTTGTCCTGTCCACCTGACGGGAGTTGCTATAATGAATTAGGATTGGTTTTGATCGAACGTGTTGTTGGGTTGATCAAACGCCACCGACGGTTTAAAGTAAGGATGATATTTCACCTGGAATAAAATCGATAGACAAAACAAAGAAGTTGAAAGATACCGGAAAGTCCACTTTGGGGAGGGGGGCAGAAGCTTCTCAACACCTGTTTCGCACATGCAACGACATGCTTGGAGATAATAATTTACTCCAATGTCTTACAACAAGACTTAAACATTAGGTGATATGGACACCTTTGATTGACCTTTTAAATGTATTTGTAATTTTACATGAATTAGAAATAAAGAGATGCAGTTTCAAATCATCTGTTCCATTGTTTCATAATCTGTCACATTCTGTGCTAGAATCAGAAGACCATCGCAACGGGAGCATGCCAGCCCTGCATTTTGCCAATGATATGTCACGGGGACATATAACGGAGAAGCTGAGCTCTTCGCTTCGTCGAAAGGTCGAGTCCGTTGAACCTGCAGACTTTGATTCACAGTTCCAAGAAACGGTGTCTGCCGCAGCCAAACAAGTAAGTTGTACATCAACCTGACTGATGCAAACCACAGGATTCTAGTGACTCAGTGAGTCTATGATTTATCTCTTTGAAGATCAAAAACTGGCTTAATTTGACTGAAAATTTGCTTATTTTGTTAATAGCAAGCCAACAAATTCTTTTATTTTCTCACAGACCTACATGTTTACCGACAGTTAAGATACATATTTCATTATTTGACAAAGTATCAAATCCTTGTTTATTGTTTTTTCAGGTCCTTCTTCAAAAGGTGGAGTTTACCCCTGCTAGAAAGCCATTTTCATACGAACTGGATAAGCTGAAATCAAAGTATATCCGACTGAATCCGTCAGCAACACCCAGTAAGGCTTTGGAGTCAGAAACCTCTGCCTCAGGTTCACGTAAGTTCAAGCTAGACTTCTATTTCTGCCATCATTGCAGTATCAAGCTTATAATTGTGTATTTCCTTACAGTTTTTGCAAATAAATCGTAATGATGTGCAGCTGCTGTCTATGGTTTGAAAATTATCAGAAAGTCAGAAGTATGTCAACCTGACAGACATGGGTTGATACTTGAAAAACTACCAGAAGCAACTTTACTTATGCTTGTACCACCCTGACAGGATCTAAAATGGAAGGAAAGCACATGCTTGATGATGGCATCCCACCACCAAAGAGGGTTCTGTTTGCCCCTGAGAAAGTCCGGGTCCAGTGGGACAAAGTTGCAAAAGTAGGGGTGGGGCTGGACAACATGGGGAACACCTGCTTCCTCAACTCAGTTATCCAGTGTCTCAGTTACACAGCGCCTCTGGTCAACCACCTCATGTCAGAACATCAACAATCATGTAAGTTTGTTTCAACACTTGTTACAAGACTTGGCTAACCTTTGTTGGTAAGTTTTAAACAAAGAGCCAACAGGGTCCACAAAGTTCAATCTTATGATGTCCAAAAATGTTACTGTAGGAAATAAAAGGCATCAGACAGAGTAATGTGTATTGGAATATTGCCATATCTTGTGTACTCACTCCCACTCACTCTCCAGATTATTGTCTGCTGTTCCCAGTCTCAGGAGAGTTGTAATTAGATGTGCTCACATGCAGGTCACTGGTGTCGATTCTTTGTGGCAGCCTGCCAGGTGCCTCTGTCATGTGGGTTTACATTGTATAGACATTGAGGAGTTAAAAGGCTTCATTTATGTAGTATGCAGTAAATATTATTTTTGTCAAAGCTAGGACTACGTATTGATGTTGTTTTCTCATGCAGGCCGAGTCAGCGACTGGTGTATGATGTGTGAGCTGGGACGTCATCTGCACAGAGTATTCAACAACTCAAACACTCACAGCATCAGGCCAATGACCATCATTAATAGGCTCAAAAGTATGTACATGAACAACACCTTTCAAAAATTACAGGTGGATTTGTTTCTTTATTATAAGAGTTATCATAGTAATCATGGTTTTAGAAAGAACTCAATTCCTTGTTTTGTTGAAAGAGAATACCCTCTGATTCAACTGCCCTGTCCTCACAGGTATAGCAAAGACAATGCAGTTTGGTCGCCAGGAAGATGCCCATGAGTTTTTCATGAACGTGGTGAACGCCATGCAGAGGGCTTGTCTCATGAACTGTAACATCAACCCAAACAAGAAGTAAGTGCACACATATTCAACTTTTGATTCTTCCATGCTTATAGTGTTGTAAACTTCCTTTGTTCCCCAAATTCCACACTGTAAGTGTATATCACACCCTCTATCTAATAGTGTTTGTTCTTTTCCATTTCCTCAGCGTTGATACCTCAACAGCTGGTACCACCATAGTGTACCAAGTATTCAGTGGCTTCTGCAGAAGTCAGGGTAAGAAAAACCACAATACAACACAATAGTTGAATGCTTTTTTGTATACATTGTAGTCATGTTAAGGTGGTTGAGTTGGTTTTAACTCCACAGAGTCAACCATGTGTGTTTCTTTTACATGATAGTAAAATAATATCAATAACAGGCCCAGTCATTTATTATAATTCTTAGATGGAAACATTGTTACAGTTCATATATTCTGTTTTTCTGTTTCAGTACGCTGCTGCAGGTGCTCAAACTTGAGCAACACCTTTGATCCCTTCTTAGATCTCCCTTTGGATATCCGGGTAAGTTGTCAATGATTGATTTTTTTCATTTCAAGTGTACAGGAGATAGAGTTCAAATATTCAATATTTTGCTATATTCAATATTTATTTTTTTAGTGTTGTTTTACTGTTGCATGTCTTGTTGATTTTCAGGGTTCGTCAGTGCAACAGTGCCTTGAGCGCTATGTAAGAGCTGAGCAGATGTCAGATGAAAATGCATACTTTTGCGAGAAGTGTAAAAGGAAGTGCCAAGCTGTGAAGAAGCTCAGCATACACAGAGCCCCCAACGTCCTTACCATATCTCTTAAAAGGTGGGTAATGGGTATGGCAATGAACCATCACTACCATGCACTTCTTTGAGAATTTCTGTTTGCTCAGATCAATCTCAAAATCTTTGGGGAGGGGGAGTCATGATGTTTTCTGGCTACCCTATTTATCTGAGGGCCTTCAGAGGCCTCGTAGTCAGATAAACTGGGCAGTCAGAAAACATTGTGCTTTCCCCTCAGGAAGGTCTGCTTGGAGATAAAGCTCAGATATATTGTCCACTTATTGAGAAATCAATGTATACTACTGTAATTGAAGTCTAACATGCCTGCAGTTACCAGGAAAACATTCAACTCGGAGAGAAGATGAAAGGAAGATGAGAATGAGATATAAGGTTGTACTTTACTTTGTAGGTTCAACAACATGGGCCTGAAGGTTACTAAAGAAGTCCAGTACTCAGAAACGATCAACTTGAGAGCATACATGAGCCAAGAGGTGAGGCTTTTACTTTTTGCTTTTTTTTACACCTGTTTGATCATATCTGTAACAACTATATACTTTTATAATTTCAAAGCTTTCTCATATTTGTGTATCCAATAGAAAGTGTGTATGTTAGTAATGTAAGTGATATGTAAATCAGCCACTGGACACTATATTAATTATACATGTACATGTACATGTACTAAAATAAATTAAAGCTGAACAAAGACTTTTACTATGTCTGTACCTTATGCTTTACTAAGTTTGTACTCAACATAGGTTATAAGTGATACATAATTCAGCCTCTGTGAGGTATGGAACCATTCATTCATATGTTGACTATTGCAGGGACCGCCTGTAATCTACAAGCTGTATGCAGTGCTGGTTCATCAGGGGTTCTCCCCCCATGGTGGACACTACTACTGCTTTATCAAGGCCCCCAATGGAATCTGGCATATGATGAACGATAGCTTGGTAAGTTCTGTATTCATTATAGCTTTGTATGTTTTGTTTGTAGAAATTTATACATAACAACATTCATACGTGTTTAAAGCTAAATAATCTAGTATGTGCTATGCTTAGCCTCTATGGAGTATTGCAAAGGTGTAGTAGCCACAATTAATGAATTTCCACTTAAGCATTAGGAAAATTTTATTTTCACCAAATAATGGAGATGATGATTTTATGTACAGTGCATTTCTTGTCTGTATTTTGACATTGTCCTTTGCCACATGTTGACAAGGTACGACAGGTAGGGCTGAACACAGTGCTGTCTCAGCAGGCTTACCTGTTGTTCTACGTCAGAATACCATCAAAGGAAACAGGAGCAACCTCAGCAGCCACTGCTGGCTCAACCCCTGCTAAGGTTAGTCCAGATTGTGAAGTCCCTAACTTCATCTTTCAGTTTTTTGGAAAGTTACACATTCAAATTAGTCTTTGATTTCAATAGCTGAATATTCAACATACACTACTAGTAGATGCACTGGCATTATGATCTATTTATTTAAATAAAGAGTTTTGGGGCCATTATATTCAAGAAATATCTGCACAATTTAATCCTCAATCATCCTTTTTGATGAGCATGTGTCATTGTATGAGCAGCTTATTTCTATGCTAACATGAATGTTATTTTGTTCTGTCCAGATTGCTAAGAATGGGCCTCAAGGGATTGCTAAGACTAAAGTCAACACCATTGCGACATCTGGAGTTCCAAGGGTAGGTATATGATATCGAGCAAAAGTGTATATCAAAACAGCAAACAATATTTGTTTGGATGCTCGTAATACAACAGTACTTCAGGTTAGCACTTCAAATGTGTATATTACAATGGAGGTGAAGTTTTCACCTTCAAGCTACAAAGATACATTGCATTTTAAATTATCTGAGAACATGTTTTTTCTATTTCAGCATGCCTTCATCGGTCCCCAGCTTCCCCCTCACATGAAGAAAACCCAGGAGACCAAAACCAATGGTATGTCTCCGTCTCCTGATTATGTACCATTTTCGTTGTTAAAGCAATATGTGGAAATGCTCACAAAGGTTATCTTTTACAACTGTTTCAAAGTCTAGCATGTTTGCTCCACTGGAACTGCAGGTTTTCAAGGGTAAAACTACACTTCAGTCTAAGATATTGATATATTTCTGTGTTCCTCCAGGAACAGTGTCCAATGGACCACTGGGAGTCCACGTGCCACGCCAGAGCCCACCCGTCCACAAGCCCCAGGCTGCTGCATCCACCCCGAAGACAATCCCAGCCCCACCTAAGGTGGAGAAGAAGTCCTCCATCTTCCGCCCCTCCAGCATTCCTCCCCAGTCCCAGCGGGAGAAGTTGGCGTTCTCCATCAAGAAACTGTCGGTGCAGCCAGCAGCAGCTCCTGCAGCAAAACCAGAGGAGGCTCAAACACAGCAGAAGAGGGAGGACGGTTTGACAAATGGCGTGGGGACTGTCGCCACCAAGGTCAACGGACACTCTGGGGCAGCTGCTGTCCACAGCTCTGGCACAGCAATGGACTCCATCGTGCCCTATTCTGATGAAGAGTCATCAGACAGTGATGATGAGGGCAGGAATGGCCATGTTGCCATAAGTGCAAAGGGATCCACCAACGGAAGTGTAAAATCGGAGGCTGAGAATTCAGAAAGGCTGCTGAAAAAAGGAGAACCTGTTCAGCCTGGTCCTGCCAGTGATGCAAAAACACTGAATGGTGCCCCATCCTCTACTTCCGCCTCGAGAAAAGAGCAGAAGGAACATCCCATGACCCCAGCACACAGTGCCAAGCCTGAAGAAATCGCCACTCCTGAACATGAGAAGGTTAACGGACATTCTGTGGTTAAGTCTGATGAGGAGACTACTAGTAAGGACGAGGAAGCCATCGGCTCAGCTCAACAAACCTTGGCTCCCTTTGCAGCCTTCCGTCACAATCGAGTTCGGTCCAGCAGTGGGGAATGGACAGTTGATGATGTGAAACACTTGCCTAATGCCCCCAACAATCTTACAGAAGGCATGTCTCCTGGTGCCAGAGCTTCAGATCTGCAGAACAAAGACAAAACTGAGGATTCACAAGGCGCAGGGAATGGTTTGGACGACAACAGACAACATCAGAGCCACCACACAGACATAAGGAAAGCAGAGTCCTCAGCAACCAACCACAACGGCACACACGTGGAGAAGAAACAGTCCGAAGCCAGTCATGTTTCTGTGAAACATGATCATTCATCTAATGACCACTCTCAAGATCACAGGAAGAAACTGAAAACTGAAGAGTCAAGTATCAGCAGGGACACGTTCAGTCACAATGACACATTTAACACAGTTGGAACAAATGGTACAGCCAGTAGGTCAGGTAGTTCTGACAAAGAGAGTTCGTCCTCAAGTAGACACTACTCAAATGACTCGGGGTATCTCAGTGTGCAGCATTCAGATACAAGAGACTCAAGGAAAGACCCTGAAGTACAGAGGAAGCGAAGACACAGTGATTCGGAGGATTCTGATGATTCTGGATATGAAAAGAAACGCAAAAAGCACAGAGATCACCACCACCATCATAGACTTGTAGATAAGGTCTCAAGAAAACACAAGAAGCACAAGAAGAAGAAGAAAAAGCATGAAAAGGAAAGAGATGAACACAAACTAAACACAGCAACCCGAATAGACAATAAAAGTCAAAGAAAACACAAAAGAAATTATGAAGATGACCCTCTTGACCAGGATTTGGATAAGAAAAAACACCACCAGTACGAAAAGCGACCTGAAAAACAAGGTATGTTACAAAAGCACCTTTCACCTAATGTAGCTGGTAGCACCAGTAGTAACACTAACAGCTATGGACTAATTCAGTTAGCTCCAGGTGACCAGGTACTAACTTCAGTTGCCAAAAAAGTGCAAGCCGAGGCAAGTATGGCGGACAAGATACAAACAACCCTTGACCCTTGGTTGATCAGAATGAAACTGCAAAAAAACCTTGCTAGGTATACTTCACAGTGGGAGTCCTCCAGCTCAAATTCGAAGGAAAATACACAGAATAGTGAGCAATCCTCTTGTCTTAGTAGCCAGGCCCTAAGTTGTCGACTGCATGACATGTGCTTAGATTCTTGCCAAAACACCCAGCCACAGGTTTCCTCCACTTTTGCCAATGAGAACAAAGGAGATAATGAAAATGAAGCTACATTAAACCCAAAGGTAGAGGAGTCGGTAGTGACAACAAAAGTCGCAGAAAGTGTTGCCCCTCTTGGCACTGCTGAAGAATTTATTTCTGAAAACCATAGTATAGCAGTAAAACCTGTCAGTCTGTCAATGTGTAGCTCTGTTGACTGCACAGAAAAAGTTGAAATGTCAGACAGTACAGACATTTTTGACACGAAAAACAGTTCAAAGACAGCTATTGGACAAGAAGTCGTCTTGCCAAATGTAGAGTATGATCAAACTGAATGCTCCTCAATCAGCCAGGAAAAAGAAAGTTTGTTACCAGGCCTAGTACATGTAGATGGTAGTGTTGAGTTACGTTGTCAGAATCAGTCTAGCAGTGAGTCAAATTCCAAGTCTTCCAAGGCCCATGCTGTTTGTGTATTACATATGGAATCGGCTTGTCCTACTGACACCACTATTGTCAAAAAAAGCAAGCATAAACACAAGCATAAGAAGAAAGACAAGAAGAAAGAGGACAAAGAAAGTGTCAAGAATGATCCAGGATGGTCTGAAGTGAAAAGAGTGAAGAAGAGGAAGAAGAAGCATTCTAAGGACAAAAGTCCAAAGCAAAAAAGGAAAAAATCTAAGAAAAGCAAGGTAAAAGAAGATGACTCAACAGGGAAAAGTGTGTATGAAGAGGGAAACATTGCCAATGGGGACAGTCTCAGAGGTGATGTCGGTTCTTCGTTCCTTCAAGAAATTGATGATTCACAGACATTGGGCAATGCAAATGATGATCACATGTCAGTGTCTTATCATCCCAAATATCTTCAGTCAGCCAGTCCAGCTAGCAAGGAAATCAACCAAGATAACATGGAAGAACCTTCAAAAGAGCCAGAGCCAAGGGTGGTTAGTATAAAAAGGAAAAGCCTTGTGTGTGTAGCTGTAGAATACAGCTGCACATGTACATGTCACCAGTTAAGGACAACACCAACAAAGGACATACTGCAGAAAAACACAGAGTTTGTAAAAGAAGATGGTTGCAACAGACAGGAGTTGTGTCAGGATTCATGTAGTCTGCCCACAATGAAGGCAGCAGATTTTGAAACGGGACCAGATAGTTGCCCGAGTTCACAAGAATTTGAAGAGTCTGGAAAGAAATTCCGTCTGCCTTTGACCACACAGGAGCAGAATAAATTGGTGCAAACCAGGCTCAATTACTACAGCTTTTTCAAACCTAAGCCAGGTCGTGAGGCTCCATCAAGCCCAGAGTCACCCATGCTGATCAAAGGAGCCAGTAAGACCTAAGGATCAGTGATGTACTAAACAATACAACTACTTAAGGAGAAAACAATTCAATTCGTTCAAACTCAATTATATAGAAACCTAAAATTATCCAAAATATCTAGCCAACTTCATGTTCCTAAGATGTTACAACCATTGTTTACTTGTTGTGATGCTGAGAAAAAAGACAACGGATTTGAAATTTTGATGTCCGGCTTGCCATTCAGTTAGTGTTATGTTTCTTTGCAAATATTCTAGTTCACGAAGGAACAGGCTTGTAAGCTATGTTCAGTCATTAGCCCACTGTATTTTATGGTTGTTTATTCGTGGACGACAAGTGTGCCAACATCTTGCAAAATGCTAAAAGTACAAAGAAAATGTTAAACTCCATGTACAAGAAGAATCATTGAAGCAGTTATCATCTCATCTATGATGAAACCAGTCTTTCCAGTACACCAGGAATAGAAATCCACAGTCAAGACTGGAGTCCTGCCCACCTCTCCCAAACACCTCCTTGGAGGAAACATCGCCCCCTTTGCTAAGTTGAAGAAGGGCAAGGGTTGGTGAGGGTGAGCCTTGCACAGTAGTAGTTCGGTTCATCCCTCTGTTGTGTTCAGTTTCTTACCTGTACATGTACAACATGTGCTACAAGTATCCCCTTCTGTTAGCAAAACTAACACAATTTACTTTACTTCTTATGGTTTATGATGCATGGAAAGAGTTTTCGCATGTTTTGTTGGTTGGTTGGTTGGTTGGCTGGTTTGCTAATCATGTAATGATGATGTTGAAGTAGCTGTCTGTGTGCAGTAGGAATAAATGTCTATGTTGAATTTCAGTGATTTCCCAGCGGTGGGACAAGGATATCCATGATGGGTACAGACGGCTCAGCGATGGAGGGCGCAGCTCCAAGAGCAGTTCCTGGGACGGCAGGTTGACGTCGTCTTCACGATCCATCGACGAGCTACTGGAGAGGTCCAACAACAAGGGATACGGGGCTAAAGGTTGGTGTGACTTGAAGTGGAATGGGAATTAGTAGTGCTGACTTCCGTGTCAAAGATAAAACAGGTGACAATCCTTAGAATGGGATGTTAAACCATGGTCCACTGTTCACTTGTTAAAAGAGCTAGGGCAATTTCCTCGGTACACAATTTGTAAATACCTTACATCTGTCTTCTCTGTCATGACCAATGGAAGAGTAGCTAAACTGTTTATTTAGTTAACCTGGTTAAAAATGACTCCCTTTTGTTTATATCTTATCTATATTTTGATAGCCTAGTTCACTGGACAGGGTCTAATCATATGGAACTTAATCCATCTAAGTGCAAAGTAATGGTAGTATGTTTTATGAGAGAACCACCCCCACCTCCACAGTTGTCTGTGGGGCCATCTGTATTGGAAGTTGTCCATGTTGCGAAAGTACTAGGTGTAACACTTCAATCAGATCTCAAGTGGTCCGCCCATGTAAACTCCATGGTGAGCAAAGCCAACCGTAGACTTTACCTGGTGCGAGTGCTAAAGAAGTATGGACTTGGTGATAATGACCTGATTCTAGTTTTCTGCGGTTTTGTAAGACCACTACTAGAGTACGCTTGCCCCGTGTGGCACCCAGGCATCACCTCTGTTCAGTCTAGACACATAGAGTCTGTGCAAAGGCGAGCATGTAGAATTGTATTGGGTAAGAACTACGTCAACTATGATGCAGCCCTAGGCCAGCTGTCCCTTACCTCTCTGTACCAGAGACGAGTCCTACTCTGTAAGAAGTTTGCAGTGTCTTTATCAAGATCCCCTACTTTCTCCAGTTGGTTACCGCCTACACGTGCAATTGTACATGGCAGAGAACTCAGGTCCAAAAATCAAATCAGTCAATTTAGCTACAGATATAGTTAGCTACAGTTATAGCTGATTTTATATTGTTTAAATGTAAACAATAACCACAATTCAGCCGAAGGGCTGCTATGGTATTGTATTTGTATTTGTATTTGTGTGGAAATAAATAAACCAGTCATAATAATATATCTAAGATGAAAGAAACAAGACTTTTGTTCAGATCTTAAATAGTTGGTTATGATGTACATGTATCCTCTGCTAACAGTCCTAGTCCTAACACCCTTGTTATATCGCTTGTTGTTGCAGTGCTCTCCTGGGAGGGAGACAGGAGTTACGTGGACCGGGATGTGGACCATGACAGGCACTTCCACCGAGGTGTGAGGGACGAGTGGGATGAGGAGTTGGACAGGGGGAAGGTAGGACAACTGGAAATTTGTCATTTTTCTCCTTAGGTGGGCAAGGGAGGTCTTCATGGT